TGGGTCCACCGTGAGGCATCCTGGGGGTGACACCCCACTCTGGTGCTGTTCCCATTGTGGTTTTTCACACCCAAACCCCGCAGGTTTCCCTCCTTCCTCAACAAGGGCTGCACAGCCCTCTCATGCCACGTCCAGTAGCCTGAAGCTTTCGAGCCAGGCTCTGATGAATGATCTTGTCAGCAATGGATGCACTCAAGTGCCCACAGCCTCAGTGCTCTTCAAGGAAAGCTGCAGCTCCACTTCCCAGCCTCTCCCTTATTTATTGCCTGGAGAGACACGGGGTGGGGAGATGGAGGGAAGGGACAGAGAGGTCACTGCCAGCATCCTGTGCCCCAGGGGCCAGCACAGCTTTGCAGCTGCCCCAGGGCTGTGGGTTCTCCCAGGTTTCCTGTGGGTGAAAATGGCTTTTCCACGAGTGGAGAAAGGAAGGACAAAAAAACATTTTTGGCAAGGGCCTCGACCTTGGATGCACCTGGATATGGGGGCAGATAGAGTGGGAAATTTGGGTGCTGGGCTCTGCCCAGGGCTGCACAGGCTGCAGGGACAACTGGGAGCCTTTGAGTGGTGGGGAAGAGCCATAAAACAGATATTTCCCATTAGAAAGATGGTGAATTCTCTCTTGCAACAATTTGATTCTGAAAATTGCATTTACAGGGCTAAAGATTCTTCAGTGGCAGCATGGGGCCTCTCGGCCACCTGCCACCATCCAAGGGTTTTTCCCAGCTGGGCACATGGTACACATTGTCTCATGGTCACTGCTGCTTCCCCACTCTGCAGCCCACTCCATGCCACCTTTCTTGGGAAAACCAGCTTGGATCCAGCCCCACTGGAGCATCCCCTGGCCCCTTCACCTTGTTAGCCCCATGGCCAGACTGGCTCAGCATCCACCCACATCTGCCACGGCATCCGAAGTGGAGCTGTGCATCACCTTGCAGGTTCACATCTCAGTTGCAAAGGTTATTTTAAGTGAGGAGCCCTTCTTCCTCCTCCTCCCTGGCTGAAGCAGGCAGTGTGTTGCAGCAGGCAGTGGAGGGGCCCCCCTCCTGCCAGGCAGGGCTGGCTGAGTCAAGGGAATAATTGGTAGGTGCTTCTGGAGTGCCATGAGCAGAGGGCACTCGCAGCCTTTGTTTATTGACTCTTGATGATAATGAATACTTCCAGAGATAATTATTGATTTTCTGCATTTGCAGTAAACCTGTTTGGCTGGGGAATGGGCAGAGCAGTACCATGCCAATGGCACGTGGAGGTGGGAATGGGGCAGACTGGGCAAAAACAGGCTCTGGCTCTTCCCGTTGCATACAAGCCAAATAAGAAAAAAAAAAATTCAACATTTATAGAAAAATATTTGTACAGCTCCAGGACAAGCCCGGCTTTCTTCTCTCTACTAGGGGGAACAGATTAAAATTTAATCCTAATTAAACACATTTTCTCCTTTCCCTCTCCTCAGGTACCTCCTGCACATACACAGCTTCATCCTGCTGATCCCTTCTTCCCCTGGCCCTGAGCTCATCCTCCTCAACAGCAGCCAAACACCCACAGTGGGTGTTCACCAGAGCAGGGACCCCTCTCTTCTCTCCATACCCCCAAAATCAAAGCCTGGGCGTAGGAGGGGATGAGGTGATGGGGCCCTTTAAATGTGGCAGAGGATAAAACAGGAAGAGGGATAGCTGGAGTTTCCTGAGCATTCCCACCTATCCCTGAGCCAAGTAGGTCCCATTCACATTTCTCATGGGGTTTTGACCCTGAAAGGGGCTTTGTGGGGCAAGGGGATCCTGGGCATTTAATTGTGGGGTGCAGGAAAAAAACCCAACAAATAAAATCTTCTTCATTGAGCTAAACTTTACCAAGGTGGTTGTAGGGCTGCAGAGCTGGGTGCAGCAAGTGGGGCTGGGGGCCAGCAGCCTTGGGAAGAGCCTGGTTTGCAGACCCCCATGCAGAAGGGGGAAGCCCAGGCTCAGCCCTTTGTGTCACTAAACCACCCCCCCACCCCCAAAAAAACAGAAGAAGAGCGCTCTAAGGAAGAGAGGTTTTACGTTTTGTATTATTTATATTTTATTTTATACTTTTATATTATTTATATTTTATTTTATACTTTTATATTTTATTTATTCATTTTGCCTTGGAGAAAGTTGTGCAGTTATCCTCCAATTCCCAGTTTCCCTGTTCCCATCCCAGAACTCGCTCTCTCTGCTACAGTTTATTGCACACATTTGGGTGCAAATGTTTGAACCTGGCAGAGACCCACGTTACCACTGGGGCTGTAAATAACCTGGAGTGGCATTTATGGCAGTCCTACAGGGTGGGTAACCCGCAGCTGTGTGCTGCTGGCAAACAGTGGTCCCACAGGGTGGGCAGCACCTGCAAGGGCTCTGGGGATGCTGCAGCCCTGACCACCCCCATGGCACCAGCCCCACAGGTCCCTGCAGGACCACTGGCAATGCCATGGGTTAATAGACACACTGGAAACACACAGCATTGTTTCTGCTTATGATGTAGTGCCTTTTCTGGGTATCTTGTAATGCTTTCTCAGGCTGTTTATTTATGAGACAATTTATTACAGTGCAGTTATTCTATAGCAGTGAAGTCTATTCCTGGGAGCCTCCGTTAACCCAGCCAATTGCTTAATTGGCTCACTGATGTCTCCACAAGGTACGCCAGGAGAGAGGGCGCTTGTAACGATCGGAGCCTCCCTCCTGCCCACACACCACCCGTGCTGCTAATTTAATAGTGCAAACATTCATTATTCCTTTTATTTGGGAGTTAACGTTCGGGCGATTAGAGCAGTGGAAGGGGTGAAATGCCCTGGAGTGCCACGAGGACTCTGGTCGCAGCTGGGAGTGGTTGGACTCATCTTGCAAAGCTCAGGGGATGCTGATGCCTTGCAGGGTACTTGGTTAATGAGCCACAAGGGGAGGGTTCGGGCTGACAGTGCCAGTGAGGCTCCTGCCTGACCCCCACCCCACAACTAGGTCATTCACCAGCAAATCAGAGACCAGGGCATGTGTGTACTCACACCTGATCTCTCTTTGGTGAGCTTAATGTGCTCTGAAGGGAAAGAGGTTCCTAATGAACGGGCTGTGTGCTACAGGAATGACTGGAAGGGCCACAGGAAAACCAAGCTTTGATTTGCTTGGGTGGGGAGTCCCTGTCCCTGCCCAACTGCTGCAGAAGAGTGATGGCCCAGTGGTGGCTGTTCTGGGGAGGTGGGTGCCTGCTGTGTCTGCCACGGGTGCTGTCTGTGCCCTCTCCAGCCTTGTTTTCACAGTGTAGCTGATCTAGACCTCTCAAGCCCTTTCCCCTGCTCCCTCTGCTCTTTCCTGGCAGTGACAGTCCCTGGAGGGCCCCTACTCCGACACTTCCTGCCCATGGCACGTACAGTGTGCCCCGGGCCAGAGCAGAGCTGTAGCTCCCAACCGGCCTTTCCCAGCCGTTGCCCTTGGGCAGCTTCCCGGGGGGAGCAGCCTCCCAGTGAGCATCTCTCCGCTGTGCATGAATGTCGTCCTTCCCTATCAGGCTTTTAGGCAATGTCTGGCAGAGCTGACAGCGTTTCTATAAGCCCTGCTGGATCCGTGCCTGCTCCCACTGCCACCACTTCCCCAGGATCCGTCTCCAGCCGTCCGTGGCCTCTCGGCACAAATCCCGCCGGCGCTGTCCAGCGCGTGCCACCGAGGCTCTGGCTTTGCGAGCCTGTGTGGGGACACAGCTCGGGGCTGTCTGACCCTGGGTATCAGTGGGACAGAGCCCTGGCACTGGGAGCAGGAAGCAAAACGGGGCAGGGAAGGAGGAGTTAGCAAACAACGCTGCCAGAACAAGCCTTCTGCTAATTTTGTATTTATCGCAAAGAAGCGATTAAGTTTCCCTGTGATTTTCCTTCTTCTCCAGCTCCCACTGCCTATTGTTCTGGGCTCCATTATCCCCCCGCCGCTTACATAAACGTATCATGCGGGTTTCTGAGGCACAATAGAGAGAGTCTCATTCATCCAAGGTCACCAGCTTTTACTTGTGCTTCAAAGCATCTGGTAGAAGAAGCATTTTCTCCTAAAGACGTTTTTATTGTACTCGGCGCAGGGGCTGAGGAAAATCTCGCAGCACTGCACTTGCACCGCCCCAGCCCTTCTTCCCTTCCTGTGCACCCAGTCCCGGCGGGTCAAATCCTGCCTTGGAAGGTGAGGAATTGTTTTCTGTGCTGGTTGGGACCCTGCTGTGGGATTCCCCAGCCTGCAGCTCCATTCCAGATAAATGGGAAGGGATGGGGAGAGGGAGGTAAAAAAGAGGTTGTCTTCCAAAATCTTTCCCATATGGGTCCCGGTGTGGACAGAGAGGTCTCCACGGCCTCCTGCTGCTTTCTCCCCCAGCTCTTGACTCCAGGCTCTCCCCTGTGCCTGGCTGGGACTGGGCAAACACAAAGGTTATTGGTAACCTCTGTGGGGGGACAGGGACTTGCTCTGCCCTGGAGGGTTTGTGCCCCGCAAAGGGCAAAGTGCAGGGGTGGCCGCCATCCAGCAGCGAGCTGGAGGTGTCTCCTGTGCTGGGGAACGTAATGATGGGATGACACAAGGACAGTCCCGGGGGCTGTGCGGGGGTGGGAGCCCCCCAGAGCCACCTGGTCGGGGCGAGCAGCGAGGCGGCCCGTGGGTGGCGGCGGGGAGGGAGCCCTCGGGAAAAAAGGCCGGGGGAGGGGGCCCCCCCGCCCCCCCCCGGGGGGGGGGTTTCCCCGGAGCCGCCCCCTCCCCTCCCCGGGCCGGGCTCGGCGCGCCCTCCGGGCGCTAGCTGCGGCGGGGGCGGTGCCGGGGAGGGGACGGCGGCGGGTCCGCCCCTCTGCCGCCCCGCCGGCAAACAACAAAAGGGAAGGCGGGGGGCGGCCGGGGCAAGCATTCCCGCAGCCGGGCCGGGCCGCGGGCCGAGCCGAGCGGGGCCGGGCCGGCGGCGCGGGGGATGTAAGCGCTCACACCGGGACAGCGGAACGGGGCCGCCCGCGGTGCCGGGGGCCCGGGGGGCCCATGGCCGGCGTGCAGACAGGCGAGAGAAGCAGCTCTTCGAGAAGTTCTGGCGAGGCACCTTTAAAGCCGTGGCCATGCCGCGACCCGAGAGCATCATCGTGGCCAGTATCACCGCCCGCAAGCCGCTGCCCAGGTAAGGGATGCGGGGGCACGGGATGGGGGGGCTCTGCTGGACCCCGCGACCCAGCCCCCTCCACAACATCAGGAGGGTTCTGAATGTCTCCCTACCGAGCCAGCTAGTGGCTGGACGACCCGGGGGATCCTCTCCATGCCCGGGGCAAGGGGATGCTGGCTGGCTGAGCCCCCTCCCCAGGCAGGTGCTGTGCTCTGGAGCAGGGCAGGTTTGGGAAACTTTGGTGGTGCTTGGAGTCCAGGAGCTGACTGCTACACACCAAGGGGAGCACAGTGAGGGTATGGAAAGTTCTAGCTGGGCTATGGAGGGAGGACAGTGGTGGGGGGCATCAGCCAGAAAGTGTGGCCAGCTCCATCCCTGCCGAGCAAAGCCCTGGGGTGTATGTCCTGCTGGTCATCTTGTCTCTGTGTCACTACTCCTTCATCAGGGAAGGTGAAGCCTGGGATGGGGAACAGCCCCTCTTCAGCTGGACCCTGCCTTGTCACGGAGGGGAGGCTGATACCCCCCAGGGATGTGCAGCCCAAGGAGCCTGGTCACTGCCATGGACCGGGGCAGCTCTGGGGCTGGTGTCCCCCTGGTCCCACAGCCAAGCAGCCTTGGCTTTGCACATCTGGTGCCTGCCCTGTCCTCCTGCTCCGGGGAGGCCAGTGCCCCTCATGTTTGCCAGAGGCTGAGCAAACCCATGAAACAAGGCAGGAGGACTGCAGGTACCTCCTGAGCTGCTCTGCCGGGCTGTCACACGGGCAAGGGTCCGTGTGGCTTCCTCACAAGCATGCACAATCTAATTTAAACCAGCTTTATTTTGCTGACTGTCTCAATATTGGATAAAAATACCCTCTTTGCACTGCTTTTATAAGGAAAGGAGGCTTTTGCTTGTTCTCTTCTCTCTTTGGTCTGTTTTTAACACTGCTGGCTGCTGTTCACCTGGTGTGGGCAACAACCCAAAGTTCCGTGGAGGTGATGGGTCTGTAGAGGAGAGGGGCTTGGTCTGCAGTGGGCTGGGTATCGGGGGCTCAGCCTGTACTAGGGAATAAAGAGCTCATGGGGAGAGCGCTGTTTTGGATGCTTCCCGTGCCAGTGGAGGCTGAGAGCAACAATAGGGATGGGGGTCACTTCTGCCCCTGCAGCCCAGCTGCTGAGCATGAATTTTTTTCAGTCTCTCTGATTTCCATTAACCTGGGTAGGAAAACGGGAAAGGCATGGCTTAAGCTTCTGAAGGAGAAGAGCAAATCTTGTTTACACAGGCAGCGTTTGCAGGGCTTCAGCCTTTGTGAGGGAGAGGAACCACGGTGTTGTTCTCCATCCCTTGCATCGGCTACGGTCGGCACCCAAAGGGGTTGCTGGCAGGCTGGGTGCTGGCTCACACACACACACTCCTGCCTGAAGGTGCCTGAATGAGCCGTGCTGCTTAAATATCTTGCAGTTGGAGGTGAAATACGGCAACAAATCAGGGTATTGGGGAAAATATAGCCAGCCTGGTGCCAGGAATGATGCCCGGCTCTAAACGGCAGTTCAGATTGCACGGGCATCC